TTTTTTTTTTAACTAGCAAAAATTATATCCAACACACAGCATAGTGTGCAGCTTGGAGACACCTCTGTGTAACATAGGGTAGGTCAAGCCCACAGGCACACGCACATGCACACCAGGAATCCACAATAGAGTAGCTGAAACGCGCAGGCTGCCGCTGACTTGAGAGAGACAACTAAGAAGCTGTTTTAGCATCTTCTTTCTCGGGTTTTAGGTGGAAACTCTTGCCAACCCATTGGGCGCCATTTGTAGCTAGAGTTTTCTCTCCAGGTCCAGCCAAGTCTCGGCAGTCCAACAGCCCACTTATAAAATAAACACACAGATGCTTACATTATTTAAACTGTTTGGCCTAATGGCTCAGGCTTCTTGTTATCTAGTTCTTATATCTTAAATTAACCCATATCTATTAGTCTAGAAGTTGCCATGTGGCTTGTGGCTTACCAGTACCTTACATCTCGCTTTTCATGGTGGCGGCTGGCAACGTCTTCTGCCTCAGCCTTCCACTTCCCAGAATTTTCCTCTCTCCTTGTCCTGCCTATACTTCCTGCCTGGCTACTGGCCAATCAGTGTTTAATTTATTAACCAATCAGAGCAACACATTTGACATACAGAACATCCCACAGCACAGGACTATGGAGGAAGCAGGCAGCTGTGACTAATGGATACCCTCTCTTCTTAGACAACTCAGAAGAGCCACGAGACTGAGTCCAGTGCCTTGATCTCTCTGAGCCTCCTGTTGGGGGAGGACCCAGGACACCTGTTCCAGCAACCGCAGGCCACCAGTTCACAGGACCAGGAGCCACTTGGCTCTCCCAGCCTCTCTGAGCCGGGTTCAGAATACCGGCCTTTCTTCCACATTCCTGAGCAGCCCCTGGCTATGGAGGAGCTGGCTCAGCAGGTTGAACTCTGCCCAGGACACAAAGCTGGCAGGAGCTGCAGAGAGGGTCTGTTCCTCGAGGAGTCGGCGCCACCCAGTGGCTTCTTCCCGTACTACCGCTCTCAGGAAGAGCTGCTCAACTGCACCACCCCTCAAGGCTGCTGGTGTCTGGGCACCAGAGACCGCTTTCCTGGAAGTGGGGCACAGGATGGCTGCTGCAAGGTGACATGGGATGGATGCCCTGTGAATCTGAAGAGGCCACAGGAGGGCAGGCAGCACCAAACCTCTGGAATGCTCCAGATACCTATCCCCAGTGAGCCCTTGGCCAGATGGCACACTAGCTATGGGCACAAAGGCTAGAGGGACTGTCCAACTATACTTCATCTCCTCCCTTTCAGGGAGGTGGCTCTGGAGATCGAATTGCATACAACAATTCAAAGAAAGGCCGGAAGCCAGAGCTGAGCCCATAGAAACACTTACATTACCTTCTTGAACTTTGTTAGACACCCAGATACTGGATCTGTGCCATCTCATTTAATCCCAATGACCCCATGCTAATGGCAGCTTACAAGTGAGACAACATCTCTTCGAATATCAAAGGAACACGACCTCAGTCACCCAGGTAGCAGGTGCCAAGCCTGGGTTCTGGTCCAGCCCCATACCCTCTAATATTATGAGCAATCCCCCTGGCAACCACACAGCTTGGCATGGGGTCTAGGGATGGCACAGGAAGTGGGGTAGATAATAAGTTCAAAGCCGGGATCAAACTTCCCATGGGGGCCCCTGGATGGGTAGACAATGTCACCAAGGGCTCCCCACTCTGCAGGACCGGCCTGGGTCCTGGCACCCTCACTGATTGCCCTGTAGAGTTATAAGGCAGGGTCCATCTTGGCATCTGGGCCTGAGCCGGGCTGACACCTTGCTTTTCCTCACCCAGTGTGCTTTGGCAGGGCCTGACCTCCTCTCTGGCTTTTCATCCTCACCAGCCTGCTGCCACTTCCTGGGAGGGTTCATGCTTGACGGCGACCAGGATCTTCCCCTCTCTGGGGACTGTGCTCTTGATGCTTCAGGATTTGTACCATACTACAGAAGCCCTGAAGAGGGGCTTCACACCAGCCCGGTGCCTCCCTCCTCTGTGCTGGGGAGCTCGAGGGAGCGGGAGCGACCCCAACCTGGCACTGCCAGCCTGTGAGGATGCATCCGTGAAAGCCGTAGGGACTTCTGGGAGTGAACTTGCCAGTCGGGTGAGGGACGAAGAAAACTGGAGCTGAGGATTCCACGGCTCAGTCCATTTGCCCTGGGACCATTCGTCCTTCCTGGGGCGTCCCAACACCGCCCCCGGAAATCAACCATCCTATCCCATCTATCCCACTTTATTCTCCTAGGCAGAAAGTCTGCCTGATGAGGTGTGGGGGTGGGCACCACAAACGTGGCTGCAGAGGGATTCCTGCTGTGCCCCCCATCAGAACCTCATTTGTCCTTCCGTAGCTTGTCACAGGCCTGGACACAGGGATTCCCGACACAGGGAGCAGGGGCCTCCTGGACAACTTGGAGGTACACACCCCCGAAGCTGGCTTTGTAAATAAATCCTGTGGGCATGGGTGCCTTACTACCTCAGTGTGGCGCTTCAGAACCGGGTCCCAACTTCCTTCTACTGAGCACTCACTATGAGCTGGGGGCCTTGCCGGCTCATTCTACAGGCCAAGAAACAGGCGGGGCGGGGCGACAGGCTTCTGACTCAGTACTGACATTAGCAGAGGCCCATGGCTGGGGCTGCAGGGATGGCGGGATTGATCTGCTGGGAGGAGCTGAGCTGGAGCGCGACTCCATAGCTTATGCACAGCCCACATACTCGGCCTGCCCATTCCCACCCCGTGTGCACCCAGGCCTCGTCTGCGTCTGCTTCTCCCGAATCTTTTCACCTGGCCGTTCTGCCACTTAGGAAAACCTTGGTGTATTTTGTGGGGGAAAAAAAAAATCCATGTTGCTTTAAGGTTTTATTCTTTAAACAACCCCCCCCCCCCGCACCACCACCCCCTGCTTGTTACAAACGGTTCTGGAGTCCTTTGGAATTGCTCCTCCTCAACTTGGGGAATTTGCCTGTGCGGTGATTACTCTGACCCTGGAGCAGAAAAACAGTGGGGGATGGGTGTGCTCAAAGCTGAGAGTGATCTCAGCCTTGACATTGGGTCCTGTAGGGCTGGTGGTGCAGGCCTTTAATCTCAGCCACTCAGGAGGCTGAGGCAGAGAGTTGTTAGTCTTAATAACCTGTGATACTGGCTCAGAGTTAAAGACTAAAAAACAAAGGGTCCTAGTGCCAGGCCGTTTTTAGCAGGTGGTAAATGGGCATAGAAGTACTGGACACATACAAAACGTGTAGCACGTGGGCAGACCTTGGTTCACTGAAACAGTGTGCTGATCATGTTGTTCTCGGTCTCTTGTCCTATGCCCCAGACTTGACCTCTACCCTCAGAGGATATTTGGAGAGCATTGGCTGATGCGAATGTGTGCCCAGGAATAAGGGGTGACAGGTGGCAAATCTACCAGGTCTCCTGAGAGCAAATGCTAGCTTGAGAGGAGCCTGTATTCCTGTCATGTGAGCACTGTGATTGTCACTCACAGAGGTGGCCATCTCACTGAGGACTAGCACTGACCCCTGGGTGCCACTGTCCACATGATCCCATCACAGCTCTTGGCCCTGCCTTCCAAGGTCCTCTGGAGTTAGGTCCTGGCCTTCAGCATCCTGACCCCCAAGGGAGCGGCGCAAAGGTCTGCCTAACTCTGCTCTCTCTCCACAGCCACTGCTCTGGTGTACCCTTGCCCCGTGCCCTGTTCTCAATCACCTGCAAGCTTCAACAGTCTCCCCCACAACTTCCCAGTCCACCCTCAGACTTGCTTTCTGCACATTGCTGGCCTCTGCTCTTTAGGTAGGTATGTGGGTGAGCCTGCATCGAAGCCTCGAACACACACACACACACACACACACACACACACACACACGGAGGACAACCATGTGATCTAGCTGCCTCCCATTTAGGGCACCACAGACCCCACTTGACTCCCCAGTGAGGTTTCAATAGCAGCTGTGGCCCTGGTCACCCTCTTATACGCTCCTCTTCCACAGGTTTCCTTCATTTTCAGATCTCCCCTGTGCTACACAGGCTCCCCTGATCAGGAAACCACTGTGTAGTCAGATTTTTCTTTGGGCTGCCAGCTCACAAATAATGACACAGAGACTCATTAATTAGGAAAGCTTTGCCTTAGCTTAGGCTTGTTTTTAGCTAGCTCTTATAACTTAACTCATTTCTATCCATCTACGTTCTGTCACATACTGCCCATCCTGCTTCCTCGGTGTCTCCTTATCTCTCTCCTGCACCCAATGACCTCCTCCTACTTCCTCTCTCTGCCCAGAAGTCCCCCCTCTTCCTCCTGCCTAACTCTTGGCCATCCAGCTTCTCATTAAATCCATCCCAGCACTAGATCTTCACACAGTACAAATACCCCACAACACCTCTGCTCATCATTAACACAGCCATCACCTGAGGAGAAAACTGGAGGGAGCCAGGCAGCCCTCAGCCCTCAGGACCCAGTATGGAAGAAAACCCCTGAGCCCCAGGGTCCTGCATTGGTGTCTGGGAGAGATTTCCCCTTCTGATACCAGAGGCCTCTATCTAGGATGTGATGCAGTTGGCATGTTATTCCTGTCTCATGATGATATAGAGGCTGAGGCAGGGGAGTTAGGGCATTTATGTTGAGGGGTGGGACTACAGGCCTTTAGGAAAGTCACTTCCCTTATTGAGTCCTGGCCAGAAGCAGCATTTGGGGCTTGGAGTGAAACAGCTGGGAGCCAGGAACCATCACCGCTTCAGTGACCTTGTCTGAGCATCCCCCTGAAAGCCAGGAGCTGCCTAGCAGAGCCGGCTTACAAACTGCAGGGGATGCCGAAGGAAGCGCTTCCTCCTTGAAGCCCACAGCTCTCAAGATGTCTGAGGGTGCCAGAGTGGCTGGCTCTCTGTGACCCCCCCTGGCGCCCTCTGACATCCCTCTCAGTGGCCTCCCTGGCATCCTCTGACATCCCTCTCAGTGGCCTCCCTGGCACCCTGTGACATCCCTCTCAGTGGCTTCCCTGGCACCCTGTGACATCCCTCTCAGTGGCCTCCCTGGCACCCTGTGACATCTCTCTCTGTGACCTCCCTGAAACCCTCTGACATCCCTCTCAGTGGCCCCCCTGGCACCCTCTGACATCCCTCTCAGTGGCCCCCCTGGCACCCTCTGACATCTCTCTCAGTGGCCTCCCTGGCGCCCTCTGACATCTCTCTCTGTGACCCACCCTGGCACCCTCTGACATCTCTCTCAGTGGCCCCCCTGGCACCCTCTGACATCCCTCTGGACCTGTTTATAGAGTCTGGCTCCATTCTCGCGACCTTTTCCACCTGAAAGTTCCTAGTGCTGTGGAGCAGCGCCCTCTCCTGGCACATCTTGTCAAGACACAGTGGGTGTCTCCATGGTCTAGATAATAAAATTCTTTGGGCATCATCCAGGAAAGCGCCACCCCTGCCTTATAAAGACGGAGCCGACAGCAGCAGCCTCAGCTCTGGTGCAGAGCCCAGGCAGCCTAGCCCTCAAATGGCCAATCTGCCTTCACTCCTCAGCCACCCCCATGCGGCTTCTCAGCTCTGTGATGGGCTGAGCATTCTCTGGACAGACCCCAGAGAACTGCCAATGGGGGGGGGGACCCTGTTCCCAATGACAGGCTCATTCAGCACCCCCAAAATCATTGTGGCTTTTTTGTCCCCCCAGTTACCTCCTGCAGCCAGCACAGGGACAATGCTCGCCCAAAGAAAGCACGTGTGTGGAGTCCTGTTACAGTCCTCAGTCGTTACTGTTGTACCCAGAGTCCCCCAAAGACCATCAAGAGACCGCATCCAATGCAAAGGCAAAGGGTCTTTTTACTACGAGCTAACTCAGGAGACTCTGTCCCCCTGACTCAGCAGCAGAGCAGGAGAGACCCCGAGTAGCAAGGGGCGGGGTTTTTAAAGCAAGGGGGGCTTGGGGTCTACAGACTACATAGGAGCGGACTCAGGATTGATGCACCTCCCATGCTTGGTTAGTTTGCCGCTTCTAGAAAGCGGTGGTTGTGGCTACTACAGCTTCTATCATGACCCTGCTTTGCCGTGACTTGATGGCTTCTTTTACGATATGGGGACATCTGGCGGGGTTTTCCTGTAACTAGAGCTAGGCCCAAGGTTGGGGCTCAAGGGCACATCACGCTGTGCCAGGGGCCTACATTCTGTTGGGTGTTTTCCACAGTTGGTCATGGCTGCAGAATAGTCCAGGCAGGGGTCCAGGCATGGGTCTGGGTTCTTCAATTACATCCTTTTATTCTCGGTGGTGGGTGGGGTCCTAGTGGTCAGTACAAAGGCCTAGAGGCAGAAAAGCGGCCAATACTTTGGAGGCCCCAGAAGAAGCCATGATTCTGTGGGGCTCTGGTAAGGCCCACGGAGAGGCATCACTACTGCAGCTGGAAGTGAGGTGGCTGCCTCCTCAGCTCTGCTATGACCCAGACCCCCTCTTCTGCTGACATCAGGTGGCCAGTCCCTTAGTCACTGCCCCATAGCCTCCCTGATTAAGGGACCTCTGAGTGCTGACTGAACATAGGCCTACACAGGCCCAGGAGACAAGGTCATGCCTGTTCTCAAAGGCTTCCCATCTGATGGACAGGCGGACTATAAGCCCGAGTGCACAGGCAGGCAGGTGGCTATGTCCAGCTCAGACAGTCGAGGTGGAATGTGATGGTGGGTCCTTCAGCAAGGGCCTGCCAGGGCACGTGGAAGCCAAGCAGAATCACAAAGGAGTGGGCACTGGGCTTAGCCAGAGAGCGGGAGGGGGCACCCCCACAAGGGACTAGCACATATCGCCCCACACAGGGAAGGAATGTGGGGTGAGAAGCCACTCTGCCTGGCTGGAGTCCAGCTGGACAAAGCTTGGGTAGTAGGCGTAAGACGTGGAAAGGCCACTGGACTCCGCCTCACAGGCCTGCACACGCCGAATGGGGAAACAAGACATGCAGACCGGGCTGCAGAGAGCCACAGGGGACACCGCGGAGAGTCACAGAGGACACTGCAGAGGTGGCCAGAGCAGAGGTCAGGCTTCTGACGCCGGCTGCGGCAACAGTAGAGAGGGAGCCCAGGACCAGGGCAGAGGGAACAACGGGGGCCGAGTCTATGTCCACAGTGCTGAGGCAGACAGCACAGGCATGGGCTGGGCCACCAGAGGACGGTGGACGCTGGAGTCACTAGAAGGGAGAGCACCAGGAGCTCCTGGATGGAGGGGTGAGGCCTGGGAGAGAGCAGGGAGGCTCATACCCACGTGTGCGTGGCAGCGCAGTGGAGGTGCAGTCTCCTGTGTGGAGAGGTCTGGAAGGAGAGCACTGGGGTTCGCATTCTCATGGACGTGCTGGGCGGAGATGTGAGGCTCCCAGGTGGAGGTCTTGAGTAGAACAGAGGTTCTGTGCTCAGAAGTGAAGCCTGGGGACAAGTAAAGTAGGGGGATGGATGGTGGTGTGAATGGAGGAAGGCCCACGGAGGTCTCCAAGGAACCCTGCCTAGGGAC